TTTTCATTTTATTCATGAAATATTAGGCATTTCTGTTATACTTCATAAACTTCTGCCAGAGATCTTACAGCTCATATGTTATATCTTTATTTGTTAAATTCGTTCAGATATTGAACTTGAAATTCCAATAAGGAATTAAGCTAAACCTGGATAGAGTATTTTTTTATAATTCGTATTCTCGCTATACGTTGTATTCGCCAGTTTTTACGTAACCACTAGATAGACCAAACGATGTTGTGCTTTTTCAGTGCCGGCCGAGCTATTGCAGTTTTGTAAGCGATTCTTAAAACCGTTTCCTGTGATTTACGCACGTGTTTGCATTTTACGCGTTTCTGTACGATGAGGTGAAATAAACGCCATATTCGTTCGTTCGGGTTGTTCGCAGTTCGATCGCAGATAAGGATAAATTACGCGTGATACGAAACGGATTTCGGGACGATAAAATCGGCACCAAAAACACACACATATACATCCTGTTACGAGATACGCACAGTAGTTCTAAAAACTAGATCTTGTCTCTGATATATCTTAAACTGTCTGACTGATTAGAAGACTGCGAATCGAACGTGATAATCGACGATTGACTTTTATCGTGTATCACGCGATGATCGACGTTGTCTATTTCCTGGCATGAAAATTTTCCATCGTTATTCCCTGGAAATGGAAAATCTAATTTCCTGCGGTTGCCAGTTGCCTCGATTCCCGAGCCACGTAATAACCACCTTGAGCATGTATGAGAAGAAGCGAGAGGGAACAGGAATTGCAGAATCATCGGGAGACGCGAGCGAAACGCGATACGAAAAAACGTTTGGTAATGGAACGAAGAAAAGTCGAATGGCCAGTGAGCATCGTCGTACGCACGGAGGCGCCCTTGGGTATAGCGGTATCGCAGCTGTAATGCAAGCTATTACGTGTGTGCGGGCGCACCTCGGAACCGCGAACGCACGCGATTACGTTTACCGATTTGTGGTCATAAATTAATACAACGATTCCGAGTAGATGGTACGCAATCACGCGTACCGTGATCCTGTGTACTCGCACGTATGTACATACACTTCGGACCAGCGTGTGCGCTCGCGTAGAGGCGAGAACGGCACAGTGGTACTCACCGTGGCGACTAGTTTCTTGAGTTTCATCGTTAAACGCGAATCGTGTCTGAAATGACTCAATGGGACTCCGATATTTCGAACGATCGTTTAGTTAACCTTTGCTCGAAGCCTGCAATCGTTCCACGACTTCTTTAAAGTATACACCTGGAGGTCAAGTACGCGTTATCAGCGCTGGCGATAAAGGTTAACATGCAATCGGAATCGCTAATACGGGAAAAATTCTGGATATCACGTCAAGCACATGAAATAATGTTCAAGGTATAATCGAACAGAGTCAAGTGTCTATTTCTTTATAATTCGAACGAGGCGCATCTCGTCAGCCGCTATACGTAGTCCTCGCTATACGTTCGATGCGCGGTGTTGAGAGATTCGAAATTTCGAGCCTCGAGAAATCTCGCGGATGTGAACGTCGTGGCCGAGATAGAGCATTCGATTCAGTGAGCAACACTGTTATACATAGAGTAATCATGCGCGCTCCTCCAGCTCTCCGGCAGGCTGCTTCGCCCACCTAGCCTTCTGTTAGGTTGCGTAACGCTGCAGAGTCATGCGATAGGATAGAGCTGCCGTGGCACGACCGGCGAGAAAGAACGAGAGCCACAGTGGAAACGGATCGAGAGAGACGGACGGAGGCGAACTCGCCGATAGATCGAGAGCGAGAAAGCGATATAGTCTGAGCGCAAAGTTAGGAGGTAAGGAAAAGACGGATCGCGTTCGGGCGGCGAGGAGGACGAAGAGAAGGGGCGGTGTAGCCTTGAAACATGCCGCGAGCGCGGTTTCGTCGCAAGTTCCGTGCACGAGCTCGCTGACTCGCGATCGCGTCGAATCGTTTGTTCCGATCTTTTTCCCACGTCTTCGCCGCATCGTTCTTCGCGCCGCGTTGTACCGTTACCATTGCCCGCCGTTATTGGGATTTTCGTGTTTCCTCGATCGACCCGCGTCAACGTCGCGCGCCTCCTATCTGCGCCGCGTCGTTCGACACCTCCGTGAACCGATTCTTAATCCGCAGCCATGAAACTCTGTTTCTTGCGACGGGCAACGGAATGCATTCCAAACAGAGGTCAAATTAAACAAGAAGGGAAGATAAATACGACGGTCCTATTAATCGTCGATGAAATGCGGCATTAAATCGGAAGAGCATCCTGGCAACGATAACTGTAGACCATTAACGTACCTGAAATAACGTAATTTATTGTTCCGAACAGTTTTATCTGCTGTATGGTATCAGCGATTAATACTCGGCCGGTTAATTTATCGAGGAAACCCGGTATCTCCGTTCGACGCGTATATCATCGATGAGAAATGTATTGCGTCGGGATTTCTCTACAGCCATAGCCCTCTTCGAGCTGCCCATGGGCCGGAGTTGTAGCGATACTCGGAGCGCAGTACAACGAACGAAAGATATTCGCGGTCAGATATATTCCATGGTTTCCCCGTAGAGCGATCGGATGCGAATTTCCAAGAAGCGCAGTGATAGATAAAAATAGATAAAAGCAACGGCCTGCTGGCTTTCTGGGAACGCTTTCGTCAATCAGGGTCACCAGTGCACTGGTGCGTCTCGTTATGTCTAAAAGCAGTTTCGTGTAACTCAAAGAAACCGAAGCTCGTCTCAAGCGAGTCAACGGACTAAATGCCACACACATATTTAAGATTAAGTTTATCCTGAAAGAGGAGCTTCGTAAGTCGTTCGCATGCGGAACGCGTATTTTTTCCTTCCAAGTACGTACGTTGCACGACTGCGCGGCGATTGGCAGGAAAATCGCGGAGCGCGCGCGCGCGCAATAAAAGAAATGTGCGTGCGAAGTGCAATCGATGGCATGCACGCACGGCGCTTTGCGCAAAAATTGCGAAACCGCGGGACACGCGTAAGCGAAAGCCTGGCCAGTTTTTTCTTCGCCGAGCACGTTCCGCTTGTTTCTTAATCCATTGTCGGGTCCGACGTCAAGGCTGCACGCCTCGCTAGAAACACGGGCTGCACTTTTCCGAGCCCGTGCTCGTTAGTGCGAACGTTACAACGTCGCGGCATTAAGGACGGGAGAAACTTTTTTTTATGATTCCGCTTAAGAAAGGTGGCCCGATAATCGACGAACTTTCCTCTACTTCTGCGCTAAAAGAAAGACGATTTCGGTTGAAAAGGATCAGGAGGCCGCGCTCTCGTCCAATAAGATGCCCGAGAGTCGCAAAGAGGGTTTGGTCGGCGAAGTCCGGGAAACTAGAGCAGAGGAAAATGGGAGAAAATGCGTCCAGAGGGAGGCAATGTAAAGAGGGAAGACAGAAGTGGTGGTGGGGTGGGAGGGGTCGGAACAGTGATGCGATATCGTAGAGCTGTAGTAGTAAAGGAGGTGAACGAAAAGCGAGGAGTCGAAGGGAAGAAACATAGGGAAAGAAAAAGGAAGGAAAACAGAAAGAAACGCGTGGCACGAGGGTAGGTGGTTTCGACTTCGCAGTAGGCCTCGATCGATGCTGTTACCATGGCTACAGGGGCAGTACCGCCGTGCTCTACTACTGATTATTTATGTCAAGAATCCCCCCCTATTTCGAAGCCCGGAACGCGAGCTCGAACCGCCCTAACACGACCAGCGATATCCGAAGAGGTCTGCTCTCCCAAGATTTCGAACGATTTCCTTTTAATGGAAAAACTTCACGTTCACTGACCGATTAGTAAGATTTATAAAACTTCTGAAACCCGATGCCATTTTTATACAATTTTATCGGAAATGTTCTATAGGCGAATTTATAGTTATGTAAGATAAAATAAATTGTTAGGGGCATAGAACTATATTCTGATAAATTATTAGCGATAAATAATGTTAAACGTTTAGGAAGCCTAATTGGATACAGCAAAGGCCTGCAAAATTCAATTTCCTAAATTAATTTTTGCTTCAGTCAAAAAAGTGTCAAGTACTCCCTCGTACATTACGTTCACACGACGGTAGGCGAAATTGTAACGGTGAAATGTGCAAGAGTACCTTCGCTAGATGAGAACTCTTGTAAAAATTGGATTAATAAGATCGCCGTCATTACGGAATGATAAATTTTCAAGTGAATCATTACGAAAGTCAAACGATATCGAATTGAGAGCGAGGATTAGAAGTTGGCGTTTGAATGATGAATATCGCTGGTGGCAGCTGACGACCGAAGATAGAGCCTCTGTGCTCTTTTTCAGAACGAGCAGGATGGGAGCGAATATGCATATGCGGAGGGAAGTGCTCCCGTTGGGAAGGATGTGCTTTCGATCCAGTTTCACCCTTCCATGGTGGTGGTACCGTCATAAGCAATCGATACTGCGCCTAAGGGCCGCGGTGCCGTGCTCTATCAGTATAAACGCTATCGTTCTAACTTGCGCAGTACACACACAACGACAATTAGACCTGAATAAATTGACGTCATCTTCTCACATCTCCACCTCTCTTCCAACGTAACATATCTTTTGCAAAGTTCACCCACTGCTGAGGCGACCTAATTTTCTATGTAATAGTTAAATATAACTTCGAAGAAAAGAATAACCGACTTTAAAACATTTTTTCTGTTGTCATTAATATTAATTAACATGATTAACTGCTCGTTAAATTATAGTAGACGTTTAGTAATTAAAAGAGAAGTAGATCATAATTGAATATTGTTACATGAAAACAGTTATTTTCTACATTGCACTTAAGGATAGACGCACCACGATTCTTGGTAGATCTATGTATGTACACAACATGGATTTGTCATGCAGTATTTATAGCCGATGGTCATTAATGTTCATTTAAATGCAAAATGACCACGCTCTTACGGATTACAGTGCAATTACCAAAGTACGTACGTGACTCGTGACGCATGTGAAAATTATAGAATGGTTCGGGTTGAAAAAAAGAAAGTTCGATATGAAACGAATTAAATAATTAAGTATTACGAAGTATTTCCACTTTGGTAAATTTATTCCAAATTTCTTCGGATATTGAATCAATGTAAACCTACAATTTATGCTCTCTACGTCGCATATAAAAATCAAAGTACGGATTTCACATTTCGCTCTTTACCGTCAGTAGCATCTCATTCTTCGACACATTTGTTGTTGTTTTTACGTGTGAAATAAAAATTAGCAAATATTGGGTTTCCGAGGTCTATTCTTACATTGTATATCTCTGATGTAAATTGTGCGCAATGGGGACAATTATTCATCATCGAGAATGTGCAATGTTGATAATACACATAGTGGGCGGATGAGGTCATATATACAATAAATTTAACGAGACTTTATAAGCTGCTTTTTATACTTATTTCGAGTTCTTCAAGCTTTAAACGAACTTATTGCAAATTAAAAATATATCTTCGCTTGTTCCACTGCGAATTGCGTAGTATAAAAACTTTCGAATGAAGAAATCCCAGCAAGTATACGTATTTGTTTAAATAATTATTATCTGCATTTCGTTCCGTGTAGAACTGATATGAGAAAAGATGCAAGTTAATATTTTCACCGAAAAAGATCAATCCTACTCAATCGCAAGTTCGTCGAGGCATTCGTATCATCGTAACGTTCACATCGCTTTCATTTACACCTGTTCTTACTCATTTTACCTTTTTATTCTATAGACGTACATTACAGTTTACTACAGTCAACGTCCTTCGCTACCTCACACATTTTTTTTCAACCTTAACTTACGCGACTATCGAACTAAAGCAATAATTAACGAATTACCTTCTTTTTAAAATATTTACACGTCGATTGTATATAATACAATTTGCATTTCACTTCTGTCAGCAGCTTCTAGTAAATAACATTTTTATGCGAGATCTACCCTTCCGAACTTCTTTCGCTAGTCTTTTTAAATCTTCGTTCACAACTGTATTCAACGTGATCGACGAACACCTTTAAAACACCATAAAGTTTTATCAGAAAACTGTCTTCGTATCTATTTAACACTGTCAATGAGTTACGCATCGAATACTTTTCGAAAACGTTTTTAACTTTCGAATGAGAATAGTAACCTCAATTGAACGTAACACGTTCCGTGATATAAGCCTCCCTTTTTTATCACTAAGATTCGTACGATATACTTAATTACAAAAGAATAATGTTACAATCGCTTACATATTACTATTCCCAATCCCAGAAGCGCACAGCTTTATAAAGGACAAGTGTAAACGCCCGAACGGCGAAACACTTCGAGGGCATCCTATGGTAATCATAACATATTATACGTATAAATAATAGGATGAAAGACACGGTGATGTGAACAGAAGAGGTAAGCATAATTATTTCGTATGACTCATATGATGTAACAGACCAAAATTGTTTTACGTACTTGGCTCCTTCGATTATGAGTTTTATCGTTTGTGATCTAAGCCCAATGATTTATTGTACAAAACATTAAATACGAGAATAGAGAATTGCATCTATGCAAAATGGATATCGCGCATCTGCCTTAAATGCCAAATTCCTCCTCAAAAGAAAAGCAGATGTTTCGAAATTAAAGCTGAGTAAATAAAATTAGAGACTTAGGTGCATGATTCTTATGACGCGATCGCTAACAATTTGTCTCTCTCAGTTTTGTCTACCGCCGCCACATGATCGGGTTTTTCACCTCGTGCGTAACGCTCCCACATCTTTTTGTACAGCATTTCCATACCCAACGCGTAAAGCTTGCAGTTGAACAAAGGACTCTCAGATCGTGCTTTCCATACCTTGACTCGCGCCGCCTTTAAGCTAAGAAGAAAGAAGCAATTAATTCAACCGTACTAAGTACAAACGACGACAACAAGAAAAACGGTGTATATACTTACTATTCTCTGTCCGTTCCTAAACGAATAGCAATATCTTGATATTCTTGCCGTGTCCGCGCAATCAGTTCTGGACATCCCAAAGTGTTCAATTGACTAGCAGCAACGCGAGATGCTAGCGTCTCGCCTGGTAGCGTGACCACTGGAGTTCCCGTCCACAAAACGTCCATACTGGTCGTGTGACCATTGCATAACGGTGTGTCTAGGCATACATCGGCCAACTGGCCTCGCCTAACGTGTTCTTCTTTGGCAGCGACGTTGCTGAACAAGATTCTACCGGGCGCTAAACCTAATTGTTGAGCTGTTGCTTGTAGGTTTGGTTCGCCAACAGCCGGGAAACGCAACAACCACAACACTGAGTTTGGCACATGTTTTAGAATCTGAAATTATTGATTAGTACGTCATTATAGGATGTTCCAGTCTCACTGGATAAAAAATAGTGTACAGAAAAATTCAATAGACTCACATGTGCCCACATATGAAGCGTGAGCGGATCGATCTTGTACAGTTGATTGAAATTGCAGTAAACAACTGCGTCCTCCGGCAGACCGTACTGCTGTCTTGTTGTGATCATAATGTTTTGAGGCACTTCTTCGCCGGTGGCCGTCTTGTTGTTTACTTGTGTGGTGGCCATTCCATTTTGAACTACGACGCCATTTACGGACATTTGGCATTGTCCGGAAGCGATCATTGTTTCGATAGGAGTGGTGGTTGGCAGTTCCGCGACTTTTAATGAGATCTCTACCGGCTTGTTCTTGGTATCGGCCATAACCACTTCGCGAATTTCTTTCACGCATGTGTTCTCAATCATCGGAGAAAGATCGGTGGCGTTTATCACAGCTACGTTATCCGCGACTTTACCCTTCATGTTCAATTTGTCCGTTAAAATAAGTCGTTCCTTCAGATGTGGGAACATTTGTCTGTAAAGAGTAGCCGTATCAGTAAACGAGCTTTTAATGTACAGTTTCAATATGAAATAAGATGAATTAATATTTCACACTTACTTGTGGTCACCAATGAAGTACGTGTGCGGCATGTAAGCAAGCTTCTCGCTGTATTGATTAGCAAGTTCTATCGGCGACGTGACCTCGTCCGTGATTAAGTAATCCATGAAACTGGCTCCAGACGTTCCCGGATATCCAAGCCACATCACTTGAACCGGCGCCGGTCGCAGAGCAAATATTTCATTCCTAGCTCCCTTCGTGTAACCGTTCATGTTTACTAAAATATGTATTCCGTCCGCGTTGATGCGATCAGCAGCTTTCCCATTGCACGGGATCTGCGACAGATCGATGAAGTGCTCAGCCTCTCTAGCGATCTTCGCACGGAAAGTGGTTCCATCGTCTGAGCTGAGGGCGTAACAGAAGACCTCGACGTTTTGTCTATCGTGAAGGCCGGGGATCGACTGCATCAAGTGACTAGTAGGATGATTTCCAAAGTCTGACGAAACGTATCCAATTTTCAGGCGATTACCGACCTCACGTGGATACTTGTATGGTTGTTTGTGGAGAACATGAATCTACAACAATTATAAGAGAAAAGATATATTTTAAAGTTTGTTGGGTTACGACAATCGGACGAAACTGTGCGTAATTGTCTAATTTCAACTATTTTTGAAACAAAACAATTAATTACCTTCTCAATGCATAAATTTGCATGTCTAGCAGCAATGGCTTTTCTGAATTCATGCGACAATGGATAAAGCATAGAATGGTGCGGGTGTACGCTAGGTAATCTGTTCTTGTCCAGTTGTTCGGCAACGATCGAAACTAGCTTCTTCATTCGAGCTTCGTAATCGGTCCAATCACATACAATTTGCAGGCAATGAGCCAGATTGCAATACGCATCCGGAAAATCTGGTTTCAACTTCAGGGCAGTTCTGTACGATTGAATAGCCTCCGGGATGTTACCAGAATCTTTGTGAATCGAGGCTAGGTTCGAATGAGCATCAGCGAAAGCGGGATTAATTTGAATAGCTCTTGTATAGCATTGGAGAGCCCCTTGTATGTCTTGCATTTCTTTCAGTGTATTGCCCATATTCGAGTAAGCGTCCGCGAAAGTCGGTTGAATACGAATAGCCTCCTTGTAATGCATTAGTGCCTCGTTTAATTTTCCCTGTTGTTGTAATACGGAAGCGAGATTGCTATGAGCTGCAGCAAACTCAGGGAATACTTCAAGCGCTTTCAAATAGAGTCGAGTCGCTTCTTCAATATATCCCTGTTCGCGTTTTATGTTGGCCTGCAATTAAATAAATGTTGTGTGTCTCGTCCAATTCGTTTACTCATCTTTCATTCAGAAATTTATATACCAGATTATTAAGGGAATCGGCATGGGACGGGCAGAGGCGAAGAGCTGTATTATAACACTCCTCAGCCTCGACCACTTGTCCCTTCTCTTTAAGCGCGTTCGCCAAATTGCAGTAAGCATCTGGGAAATTTGGTTGCAGTTCAATGGCACGCCGGTAGGTATCGATCGCCAAATCGATAAGTCTGTAAAATAAATTGCACGTTCATAATTTCCTCGAGAAATACGTGGCATTACTAAGCTACGGAATAATCAAGGAAACTCACCCTTGTTCATAATAAACGCACGCCAGATTTCCATGTACGACAGCATTGTTGGGACTGAGATTCAACGCACGTAGATATGCGGCTACAGCTCTGTGACAAACAGAAAATTTTGTGGATCGTTAAAATTCGTTATACAATACTCGGGCGAATACACTTAGGTCGTTTTCCCAATCAGTGAACAAACGACGAATCACAATTTCATCGATAGGCGCACACCAGCGTATACATGAAACGTGTCATTTTAGAATGTAGAAAGTTCTTTGTTGCCTTTCTAATTGGTGACACCGGTGTCCCGTGTCACCACACCCGACGGCGTTCTCTTACGAATCGGACACGTGCCGTACACATCGCTATACATATAGTGGGGCATGTCACGAGTAGACCAGACGCCGGCGAGGCTACACGAGAATCGATTGGAAATTAACCTTTTCACGTTGTATTTAATCCATGAGATACATCCGGGCGTGGAGGATCTTGATAATGCCCGCTCTAATTGTACGCGTAACGAGGGTGCGATCGTAGTCGAGGGCGAAATCACTGTGTACACGACAACGCACTGGTAGTCCATTCCTCCTCCATTTCGATGTCTCGATAAATTAATTTGTATACTCTTTATATATCTCAAATTTCAATCTTAAATCTTAAAGATTACAGCCACGCATTCGCTTCGATAAGGAAAATACGAGAATCATCGGTAGGTTTCCGCGGTGTAACTCACCACGAGCTACGCGTTTTTGGCAATATATCCCTTAAGAGGACTTACACCCACCCACGAGGAGAGCAAAGGGGCTCTCTTCTCCGTACGAGGGCGGAGCAATCCTTGGAATCGATAGTTGTCCGGTTTCTCCCGCGATTGTGCGTAATATTGGAAAATTCCGCGGGAGAACACGCGTAAATAAAGAAATCCACACCCTTCTTGCTATAGAAATCATTTTCTCTGCCAAGTAATTCTCACTATTTCCATCGCTATCTAAACCCTTCCATAAAATAAATCTCAACGTCTATTATGCGTGTACATACAGTAAAACAAAAATATTTTAACATTGAACAGCAGTGTTCCAAGCTATGTTAGTATCGAGATTGCTGTTAGAAGCACGTCTAGGTAATTAGAAATCTGAGTAACGGAAGAAGCGTTGCTGGGGGGACATCGCTCTGATGAGACAAAGGACGATGAACTTATAAGGACGTCGTATGAATATCGATTTGGTGTGTACACACCAGCTCATGCGCTCTGCCCCCGATTGCTTGGCAAAAGTGTTTCGAAAACGGTAAACGCGTAAGATTCTTCGACCTCGTCGTTCTTTTTCAAAAAATCAAACCGCTAACACTGGAAATGCAACAAAGAACTTTTGCAAATCTATCGATTGTATGACTCAGGACTACCATTAATGTGTCAATGCAGCATCAAAGGAATAACCGCAGAGCCAATTTTCTGTAGCACAGACTATAAAATCTACGTCTATACCGAGGAAAGACGAAGATCGATCAAACTGTGCATCTTAACTCTGTATATATGTATCGATATATTCTGTCATATTATGATAACAAAAATTTTGTATTTCGAAGTCCCTATACAGCATCGAATTGTTTGTCTATTTCAACTGACTTTCGCTTGATGAAAAGTTATAAATACAGTAATAAAATTTCATATCTACCAGTCTAATAATAATTGAAATCGAAAAAGTCGACCTCTACCTGTATATTTATTGAATTCGTGATCACATCTGTGCCATTTTAAACTGAAATCTAATTACGTATAAGACTATCGTTTCAAGTTATAATTATTAATAATGAATATTCAAATCGCAAGTTGGATTTCTAAATTGTATCAACAAGCAAAAGTCTACTTTCAAAATGATATTTATTCAGCATCAAAAATCATTGCCGTTGATAGTTTTCTTACCTATCGAATATCCTGGCCTCTTTGAGCACGTTGCCAAGATTGATGTAGGCGTCCAAGAAATTTGGATCCAAAGCGACGGCCTTCTCAAAGTGATGAATTGCCAGCCATATCTCGCCCTGGGCGTTGAATACACAGCCAAGATTGCTCCATGCGACCGCGAAGTCCGGACGTGTTTCAATCGCCTTCAGGTAACATGCCTATAGGTACAAAAATTAGTTTAGAGATGCTCGCGTATCGTCGGGGACGCGCCGCGCACACTGCCCAGCCTCTCCTCGCCGCGCCGCAGCTTCCACAACTCTTCACCATCTTTGATATACCTTAGAGAACATTCATCCCTTCACAGTTTCGTTCTCCCTGTCTTTCTTCATTGACCCTTTCCTCGATCACACCAACCTTGATCATTGACAATGAGAATTCAATCTCTGAGTACAAATTTAATCAGCAATCATTACCAAATTAATCATGACTTTATCGGTGATTAGGTTGCATGAAAAAAATGTTTAAGATAATTCTTTGTTAAATAAACACTCGTTTTTGACATTCGATAAAATTGATAAATATTATAATAGTACAGTATCATCAATTGTTCATATTTTATCAATCAATCGATTGCGGAAGCTAATTTAAAAAAATGGTCTTGCCTATGGTTTTCGGTTCTTTTCGAAGGAAAACGAGAACAAATTAGAGACATAGAAAACGAAGCCCTTGTTGCAAATCATACATAACGTGTAATGGATTGGAAGTTGGTATCAGAAGAGGAAGAAGGGTTTGGGTGCGCGCTAGAAACGCCATCGAGGAAAAGGAGCGATCCGAGTATCAGTCGATTCTCCAGAATGCGTCTGGTGGACTCGATGGCACTCAGAACACCCACCTTCATCAATATTGCCGTAATTCACTTGGCCTTCCGATATCTTTATCCATTCCTACTGAATACGATTCAACAATATTTTATGCCCAATTCTAATTAAAAGTCATCACTGGTACAACCCAGAATTATCCCTCCTTGATTTATTGTGAAATGCCTTTTACGTAACGACGCTTCTAAGGATCAAGCAACGATTGTGTATCGCGCGTGCCGAGAGGCGGGCTGCATTCTCATTAAAAAACAGAGTAATCCGTACCTAAACAATAAGTAAAAGGGCATTTACAGTCGGCCGATCTCTATAGGAATTGGTAAAACATGATTGGACGATGGTAAAGATTGATAAGATAACTGGGAATGGATAGAAACGAAGTTGGATGAGCTTTAACAGAGGAATCACGTTTCGATGATGAAACGGTTTCGTTCATGTTTCCGTCCTTAATTCCGTATGCTCCTGCGTCTGCCGCGTAGGCAAGCACAGACGCTATGTTGATCTGAGTTAAAATGTGATCCAACTTCCAGTCTCTCGTGGAACGACGGAACCAAGTCGGTATGACGGAGTATTCAGAGATCGGCCTTGGGAATTACATTACCTGCAGTGTACCCTTCGGTAGGTTGACGGTAGGTACGGCTTGCAAGCTCTCATAATAAACTTAGACCGAGAGACAGTGTGTTACTGAATAACCAGATTCAGATTCACCCTTTGACGAAGGAACCCATGGTAACCGACCAATCACTTTGCTCCGACTTCCCCTCCTAGATGATCAACCCATCCACAACAATAAGACAGCTGCGTTAATGTCTCTTCACTGATACTCTTCGCCTCAACTTTGTCTTTTTTACTTTTTTCTTTTTTAAGTAGGAATATAGAAAGTACCTAGTCATGCGTGTTGCTGAAAGACACGCTTCGCTGAGATCGTCAGCCACCATGTTAGAATCGCGTAAACTTTACCCCAGTGCATCTATAACGGCCGTTTCCAGTTTCATTGGAAATAAACCTACCAATACTAGGTCACCGTACAACAATAATTTTTTTCTGTTACGTAGAAATGAAAATTTAAGAACTGTTCTCCCTGCTAAAAATTGTAATATGCATTGACAATAAATGAATTAAATTCCCTTTAATCCCGTAAACAAGCTGTGTTTCAGACTGATATATTTCTGTAAATGTAATGTAAATTGTTGGTGGCAGAACGTACTAAGCGAAAAATAAACGAGCAAACTAGAGAGAGCTCAAGAACAGCAGGAAGTTAAATGGAAAGTCTTTCCTCTTGCTGTGTTTAATGTCGCCGAGTTTACTTGCAAACAGTACAATGGTATTAAATAATCAGACACATACTAATACAATTTCAACAAGTTTAAAAGCGAAGTTTTCTGCTGCCCATACTGTTTGCAATTATTTTTACTCGTCGACCATCGCCGCGCCGCGCTGCTGTTATGAAGCAGATCACTTGACTCGTTTATTTTCTATTATACATAGTTCAAATAAACGAAATTCTTGGGAATCGAACAACTCCCGTGAATTTCAAACATTAAAAATACTTTCATTCGCGTGTCATGTAAATAAAACTGATTAGACACAAACAAACGCAGAAAAATAATAATCGATTCTGTTCATCGGTCGTCAAAGTATTTTTATCGGAAGTCAAGCAATCTCGCGCAATTCATCACCGTACACACAAAACTGTTTACTTTCAAAATTGGAAAGAGTATTTGGAAAGAAAAGGTTGCGTTTCTCCACGTGTATCTAATGGATCAATATACCTAAAGTACAATACACATTCAGAACGAGTTAAATCAAATGTGATGAGCTTAAATACTACAGTCGCGCGTTGCTGATCCTATTGTAGCCCACTGGAGCAAAAAAATAATAATATTTCCTTAATCAAGCTGAAAAAAAAATGTTGTTGCTGTAATAGGATCGGCAAATATTGTCAGAACGTTGCGATAACACTAAATAAAGAAATTCCACTGATGGTTCCATCGGTGTTATTGCAACACGCGCAATACAGGAGGTACGTCATATAATTTTTAGTAAATTTCAGACGTATACCCCTAAACTGCGTTTGATGTCTTCCATAAAAAGTCATTTCTCCCTTAAACATTTCTTTACTTCGGAAACAGTAACAGACACCGAACGCAGTAATTAGTTGATTAAATAGGAAAAACGCGCAATGGATGAATTACTATCGAATTCTCGACAAAATTGCGTGTCTCGCTTAGAAACGACACGGAACTAATTTCGATAGAAGATCATCACACGTCGCGCACACACTTTATTGCAAAGAGAAAGAACTTTCCGCCTGTAGTATGTAAATACTACTTGTTCCTATTTATTCTTTAGAGCAACTGACTAGCGCTCTTGCACATCTTACGAAATGCATTTGCACCTTGTCAATAACGTGATCAACGAATCTTGATAGCAACGATCAACGTCTTCAGATATGACTACAGTACCAATGCATTTGGATATGTGCGTGACAAATTAATGTATAATGATATGCGATAAGCGATAAACTTACCTTGGCTTCGTCAAGTCTTGCTAATGCTTTCAAAAGATTACCCAGATCACTCCTCACACAGTAAAGATCCTATAACAATATGCAATATACATTTATTCGGTGATCGTAAAAATCGCATATATTCGGAAGATTTCCCAACAGCGTCGCATGAAATGATCGAATATAATGTCAATTATAAAGTTGTATCATCAAATAACAAAATAGGTGCTCACGGGGTTATATTGTAGAGCAGTCACGTATGCTTGAACTGCTTGTTCCATATCTCCCGCAGCTACCAATGCTGCTGCTAGATTGATGTAACCATCAATGAAATCTGGTTTCAATCTAACAGCATGACGGTAGTTTTCCAATGCTTCTTGTAACTGGCCACGCTCCTTGAAAACATTCCCAAGATTGCTGTATGCCTCTGCCAATAAGGGATTCTGCTTGATCGCTAAACTACTGTAATGAGCTGACCTAGAATAACAATAGAAAAAGTTTTGTAGATATTATCGCATGGGCATTTCATTTAAAAATAACACAGCAATAAATGTTAAAAATAATATTTACTTTTCCAGCCTCCTACACTGAAAGTGAATAGAAGATAGTAATAGGAGAACTCCAGTGTTATTTGTTTCCTGCCTCCAAAGCTGCATGCAGTGTCTTTCAGCATTTTCGTAATCCCCAGCTTGATATTCTCTGTGAGCAAGTTCCAATAACCCTGAAACACAAAAATAGTACAAACTTATTTAACACAGTACAATATAAACATATTTTCATATGTAAGAAAATACAAAATATCTCTTTTATTAAGAAGTTTTGCACACGATATGTTTTTAAATTAGTACATCGCATGTAAGTGCTTTTCATTAATACGTGTACGCAAATAATGCAAAAGTATGAACTTCGTAATGAAATGATTTAAACGCAGCCCAAACGTTAAGTATTATATGAACTGCATCAGGAAAAAATGTAAGATAAATTGGCTGTATTATTAATTCGTTTATCTTTGATGAATCATTACATCAAAAACAAACAATCCGAAAACGTTTGAGATAAAAATAAATTCTTCGATAATTCAGAATGCTTTTACGGAATAAAAATTAATTACAAGTACGTATACGTGTTACATCGAAAATTCGGTAGACTCGGTTCAAGTGAAAACAATGTGCTTCTGCGTTGACTAAAACATATCGATTTTCTTTTGAGCCGGCTCGCCGAAAACGTGAACTAAATGGCGGACGGAGGAAAAGAGTTACGAATTAAAGAAATACGAACAATAAGAATCGACGGCAACGTTAATGGTCTGATTATCAGCAATCGCAATTAGCTCTTTGCCCTGGGTATCCTGCGTAACAACCAGGAGATTCTGTCCATTTTGCCATTCGACGGTTCCATTACAAACGTCCTCCGTGCTGTTGACCACGCTCCCGATTATCCCGTTCGAATTTTTCAGAACGTTCTCTTTCTTCTCGGCCAGTCTTAAACTCATCTTGCAGACGTATTTTTATTCTAACCACGTTTCTGTTTGTCCCTTCCCGGTACACCACAAGCACGCTGTTTCCACGCAATCAACTTCAACAAATTTCGAGACTCTTCGACGTACGAGATTTGATTGCTCAATTTTTTTCTCACAAATGTCTACTACCCGATCCCGTACCGCGCTACTTCTGGCCGATAAATTTACGCGTTCTCACACGAGTTTCGTCGAATTACGCTTGGTTAAATATGGCACAATTTTACTCCGACGTTTAATACTTCGTTTCTGAACACACAGTGAGGCCACCGCGTTGGCTGCGTTCCTATATACAAGTTAACGCTTCGGCCAGGTTACCCCGCCAGACCAATAAGAGACCGGATTGGTAGGCTCGATCACTATGGCAGACTCCTGCTCCTGCGTCGCTTGGCAAAAGCAGAAGGGGGGTAGCGATAGAAGACCGGGTTCAGACCCGGCAACATGTCTTTCAATTCCCTCAACCTTTCACTTCTTATCCGCTACCTTTTTTTTTCTAAATTTAGAATGAGTTCTCTTGCATCTTTACAGGGTTAAATATTAGATCACTGTTAAGAAACTTGGTCGGTAGCTAGGTACAAATACTAAATTGAGATATATACACGTGCAATTCTTAAATCTAATGTTTAATCATAAATTCAATAATTCTATCACTATTTATATATAAAATGTTATTAACTGTTTAAAATATTTTAATTCATAACTTTTGATGTTTGATAGAAAGAAAATGAATTTTTATTTTCCTACCTTGTTCTTTTACTAATTCCGACTTGTAAGATGCAACTAATTTGTAGATTAAAGCAACACTAATTGTTAGCCTAAGTAACTGTGTATGTAAATAAAAAGAATATTTATTATTAAATACAATTTAAACGTAAAAGAATTCGGCTACTCTCTAAATATCTGGCATCGACACCAAGTATATACGTAACTGGGAGTATACAAAGAAAACGTAACAGTGATTCTCAATCGTCATTAGAAGAATTGTGATACGGACTAATAATTTCTACTTTTATTTTATATTCATTTCATGTCTGTATTATGTTAGCTAATTTTACGTTTGTTGTAGATGGGTTAGTTTAATTCATTTAGTTATAGTTTAATAGAAATAAATAGTCTGTAAGGTATGGAGAAGAGCGACTGAAAGTTTTTTAAAGTGTATTCTTGGACCGATAAGACTAAAATAAAACATTACTAAGTATATAAATTCTACTAATTTCTACCTCTAACACTTTCAACCAAAGAACTAAGTAATTATAATATTATAAATTAGAATTTGCAAATGTATGATAAGGTTCATGACGACTTGATGGCAATATATTGAAGTCCATATTGTGGAGTAAACATATTAAATTGAACAATATGAGATTTATAATAGATTTAATCATGGCACAAGATTTTTGTAGATTGCCAAAATTTTTGTTCATGAAATATTATGCGAGAGGTGACGATTGATGGAAAGAACCACTGCAACGTTCGAAGGGGCAGTCATCCCCTCTCTCTTTCGGGTAGCAGATGGAATAGGTATACCGAGTGGAATATTCCACCGTCACTTTGAGGAAACAAAGCGGCAGGCCAAGAGCTAGGGAAGGGAGCAGGTAGTTCAAAAAGGGAGAATAGATTTATGAAGGGGAGTAAGTAACTGTACATGAACAAAGACCTTGTAGCGATGCTTCTTCTCGCGAAAGAAATGAAACTAGGTCTGAAAGTCAGAGAAATTTTCCAAAAAAAAAAATAGAAAATGTATTGGACGTTGGCAGCATTAAAATATTTATTTTCTTTGGAATTCATTGATCCGTGCTTTCACTCTTTTTGTAAACCATGACAAATTTTATATTATTTAGGTACAAAGATTTTATCGTATAATATTTCAAGTATACGTCATTTGTACGTATTGGGTGAAAGTGCAATTTCTATCTCAGTCATATATGCATGCCTAAACGTTCAGATATATGATAAATATGTAGATACATACATATATATGCGCGCATAACTACTTACCTGTGTTCTACATTACGGAACCTAATAAATCAATTATGCGTATTCCAGCGGATATGGCATGTGATGTTAATCATTCAACAAAAATCTCGTTTGCAATTCAAGATTTTACTCAATAATAATAGTCATTATTCTCATTCAAATGATTAGAAAAGTCTTAATAAATTAAATATACAATAAAGCAGCATACAAAATGTTAATAATGAAGCTTAACATAAATGCCAACGAATCGTTGAAAATTAATTTTCATCCATCAGGATTGATCTAAAATAGAAGTTCGTGGGAATTGTATGTATTTTTAGTAAACTGCCTTGTAACTTGTAACATTTCGTTACATAGCACATATCTGCGAACTCATTAAACTTCGAATTTCAACAGTCTAAAAATCTGCTCATGAAAACGATGTGGCACCTAGTCGATGCAATTTTACTACGTACCGACTGTCGAAAGCTGTTGTATCTCGTTCATTTTGAGAATGACACTGGTGCCCGCAATTTGTTGATGATTCTGCTGTTGTTGCTGCTGTGGCTGCTGCTGTGCTTGCATGATGATGGCCACCATAAAGAATGAGTACGCGTATAAGAGCGGCGCGCAGAAATTTCGAATAATCACATGAACAGAATCGCGATCAGTTGAATCCGCGAATGATTCCGGATTTTTTAGTACCTCGGAACAATATTCCGCGACCCACGACACTTATTATATCGGCATATACTAGCACGACCTTACAGCATGCGCCATCATGGATTTTCAGGCACTTTAAAGCAAGAATTCAGTAATATGCAAATCACGCAGCGAATTAATTACAGAATCGCTTACAAATGTCCCTTGTACGAAAACTGTTACGCGCAAAATTCTGCTAAGAAGTCACCAACAACCGAGTCACTCAACGAATGTTAGTCTGTGAGCGGTACGAAACTACTTTAACATAACGTGCACCGTGCACTGTGCTCAGTGCTGTGCACCCACGTATACGTAAGACGGCTCGACGCGGAAAGCCAATCGATGAGCGTATTCTGGGTTGGATACTCGTGCCGTTCTGCGCGCGGGAAATATGCCGATAATTAAGTCCTTCCTGTACGACTAGCAAATTTATTGTACACCGGAATTTTCCGATGTGACTAACAGATATCAATTATATTGTTTTAATGTTAATTAACAGTATTGTCATAACAAACTTTCAATCTCATATCATCGGAAAGCGTCAAGATTCCTGACCCTCGCGTTACAAGAATCTATTAGTCGCGATAGAAATTAAAGTTTAAGATATATTTAATACAATAAATTAATAAAATGATAATGTTTAGTAGTTTATTTATAATAATTCAACTAATAAGCATATAGTAATGAAAATACTGAACTATTTTGGATTATTGAGATCGAACGTGTTTCATCATACATATGAAATATCGCTACTTCATACGTAAGCAAAGGCATGTATACGCAAATATTGTATCGCGAGATAAATAAGAAAACAATTTTGCAATAAGTAAAGAATAGTAAACACTTCGAGAAATCTGACGAATTTTCATGGATACATTGCACACCTACCAACAGAGAGAAACTTTCTCTCTGCTACCAACTTCCAAGACCTACACCCAAGATGCACCCAAGACCTTAGAGCATACTGTCTTATTTTCATTAAAATGATGGCTGCCCTAAACTTGATCAAGATACCATTGCAGTCGATGAATCACAGTTCAAGCAACTTAAATTTCTCCTTTTTTAGCCATGTACAGTTTCACAATAGAAAGTTCGAATTCACGGATTCCACGTAATCTAACACGTATAAAAATTTCGTACGAATGTATGACGATTTGACGATAAAAGAACGTGGATTGAATAATTTTTGGTTTAAACGCGAAGACACTCTAACGGCAATTCAGTGAAACATCGAACCGGCTCGTAGAAGAGGTAGAGGTAGAGAAGTCTCGTAGAGGTAGAGGTAGAGAAGTCTACCGAAGTAGATGGAAAAAGAGACCAGTAGAGTGTGACTGGTTGGTTATATGGTGTGATCAAGGAGTAGTGCTACGTTTTCAGTATTATATTGTTGTGCTCGCCATGACGTTGGTTTGAAATTGTATTTCAAAATATTAATCCCGATGTTGGTCGCAGGACTGTGCCAATGTAGTTTTCATGCTTTTAACGAGGAGAGAATCCGGGGAGGCAATTCGTGGATACCGAAGAAAGCTTCAAACACGTTTGAAGCTTTCGAGGTCGTATTCATGGAACTATGAACCTGGACTCGTTGTCTTTTACTTTGTCACAAATCAGTTATTTGGTTGCGAATTTAAATAAGAAAAATTTTCGGGACAGCTGCCAGGAAATATCAGTTGTAAGTAGAAAAAAACCTGTTGTGCTACTCGATCTTTTATACCCACCCCTTCCACCTTCTGATCATCACACGCCGTCCTCGAAACAGCACAATATGCTTCGCGAATATTATAACCAATTAAGTTTGATTTCATCAATCAAAATAGATTTTCCCATCAAAAATATCAACGCGCTTACCTTGGAATTATCCAGGATTTAGTATTCACGCGGCACAAAATATATCTTGAACTTAGCCTCTTTCCGTAATTTGTATGCCCCACAACGTATTATTTTCGAACGTTGAGACCTTGCATGTTTTCAATGAGCATTACCAAAACATTCAACAATAATCAATTATTTGATGTATCGACTTATCTCATAATCTATTCATAATCAACATTTCTTCATCTTTAATACTAAAGATATGATTATATTGCATAGGTCATAGATAAATCACTTTTGTACAAATATCGCTTTTATTAATATTTATTGATATTAAAATTTCCTTAATATATTTTAGCTGGTGCAGTGGAAGGGTTTGGAGGCAGACAGACATTTGCTGCGCTCTTTACTCTCGAGTATCGACTTCTCAACAGGAGAACCGCCAGAATCAAGTGCAAAAGATTACTTTCAAGTGCAACTTCTCAAACAAGAGTGTACTAATCTTCTTAGCAAACCATCTTTTATTTCTAATCTGTGTTTTGCTATTGACCATCCATTTCATCAACAAAAGGTTTATTTTACTTTTTATTTAGGTTAAGATTATTGAGAGTAGAATCTGTGCACATCTGTGTAAATAGATAACAACTTTGTAAAACGAACGTTTTTCATTAATTTTGACTTTGCATTTTCAGACCTTACAACCATCGCCGAAGTTTTTTTTATGTTTAAAAAAGGGACTTAGCTTAACTCTGGTACAAGAAGTTGCATTTGCGATTGCCTTGCTGCACTCAGAGAATACTGAAATTCGTACATTGGCCCTAGAGCACGTACAAAAGCAGTTGCCTGAATTGATAAAAAATTATATTAATTCTGAGTCAAGCAATAGACATCAAGAAGAGGGATTGCACGATTCGTTGCCCGAAGTCCTTCACCTTATATTATCTCAAGCACTTCATTCAGCCAATCACTTTGGCCTTTTGCCCGAAGCAAAGGAAAAATTTCTCAAGAATCTAAGGCGCGATTTTCCCCGTGAGCTGGTACCAGTGGTGCTAGCACCACTCTTGTACCCAGACAACGGGGAAACTCCGCAAACCAAAATTGAGTTAAACATGGCTGTTAACCAAATGGTAAAATAAATGTTAAAGCTTGAACAATTAAAACAGAAATTCTATATAACATGTATTTACTTTTAGGATGGCAATTCTCTAGTAGAATTGATTATGGAATTGGGATATGGATTTACTAGCAGTGTTGAAGATTGCCGATCAGCCTTAGCTGGCCTAGGAGCTCGGGAAATTTCTCCAGCATGTGCCGCGAGAGTTTTATCTCATATGGCACGCAGCTGGAACAGTCTTGACGATGCTGGAGGACTACAATCGTTTTGGGGTAATTCAGGAACTGCACAGGATGCGAAGGAAAAATCGAACGATAGTGCTGCTCCAACTACATGGAACGTCGAAGTTTTTGTTCAAGCTTTAAAAGAAATTGTAAGCATTAATTGTTAGTTTATATCGAATTAATATAAACATATTAATCTTATATAAATGTTATTATGTATTCAAGCAATCTACACTATCCTGGAATGATGTGATAGTCAAGTTGGATCATGCAGATTTTATTATTAAAGACAGACAAGGATTGAATCTGCTGATTACAGGATTGAGATTGGGTTTGCAACATCAAGGCTACCCGCCGGATATATTTCCCGTAGAACTTTTTTACCGTCATTGGGACAACGTAGAAGGACAGTTTTCTTTAGTGCAACAAGTTCTGAAATATCCTGATATATTTTGTTTCGCTGATTACCCATATCATTCTGTAACCGTCGATGTATTAAAAGCAGCACCGGAAAGTGACAGTAAAGAGGCACAAACTTGGAGATCGTTGAATGTAGTTGAACTACTTTTGCATATGGCTGAAAGAGGATTGTACGGGCCAGTTCAAGAAATCTTCAAATGGCCAATTCAGCACTGCCCCGATGTTCTTGTATTAGCATTATTACAAATTAATGCTCCAATCACTATACTTAGACAAGAATTACTTAGTACATTAATGCCTATCTTCCTCGGGAATCATCCGAACTCTGCTGTTATTCTGCATCATGCATGGCATGGGAATACAGTTAAAATCAAATCTATTATCATGCATGCTATGGCAGATTGGTATATACGAGGAGATCACGATCAGACACGATTATCTCGTATTCTTGATGTTGCTCAAGATCTGAAAGCATTAACGTATTTGTTAACTGCTCAATCATACCCATTTGTTATTGATTTGGCTTGTTTGGCATCGAGAAGAGAATATTTAAAACTAGAAAAATGGTTAACCGATAAGATCAGAGAGCAAGGAGAGGTTTTCGTTGCTGCTTCTGTAAAATTTTTACAAAGACGTTGCCCCCAAGTGATGGGACCTGGAATAAAGGAGGATCTTACAGTGCCGAAGGCGAGTCAACTTCCACAAGAAACATTGACAACAATGCTTGCTTGTCTACAAGTCTGTGCTGGGTACGTCTACTTGCGAGCATTTCTCATTTTAAAAATATACATCACATCTAATACCTTTCAATTAAATCATTTTTAAAGGAGTGTATCGCAAGAATGTTCCGAGGCAATAATGACAATGGTACAAAACTGTAGTCTAATGTTGAGTAAAAACACAATGAGTAGACCACCACCGCCAGGAGTTTTGCGACACCGTGCGTTGGAACCTTTCAATCCAGCTGCTTTAGGAGGCCAGGTATGAAAACCAAAATAATTATAAGTAATTTCTTTTTATTAAATATATTCGATTATTTTTAGCTGTTTTCTTCGAAACAAGTGGACCCACTTGGAAATTTAAGTTCAAGCCTTGCATCTATGGGTTTGGGTTCTAGTTTGGGTCCACCCAGTAGTTCCGCGTTTAATTTGCCAGGTGCTCTTGGACCTTTGGTATCTCCTGGCTCTCCTTCTCGTCTTATGGGACCTTCTCCAAGCCCGTTCCCAATGTTGCCATTATCGTCGCAATTGCATTCAGGACCAGTCGGCACGCAAGGACCATCCGTTCTACCTGGAAGTACAACGATCGGCGGATTAGGTCGACTTGGACCACCGACAGGCATCGAGAAAGCAAGAATACCTGAAACGTCGAACTTGTTTCCTGACATGACGCAAAACGTTTCCAAAGAAATTGAAGACGAAGCGAACAGCTATTTCCAGCGAATATACAATCATCCACCGCATCCTACTTTATCAATTGACGAAGTCCTCGATATGTTAAAGAAGTTTCAAGACTCCGGAAGTAAACGGGAAAGAGAAGTGTTCAACTGTATGTTGAGAAACTTATTCGAGGAATATCGATTTTTTCCTCAATATCCCGATAAAGAGCTACAGATCACGGCACAACTGTTTGGTGGAATTATTGAGAAAGGATTGATCAATAGTTACGTGACACTAGGATTAGCCTTAAGATTTGTGTTGGATGCGCTTAGGAAATCAGAAGGCAGCAAGATGTATTACTTTGGCATAACAGCTCTGGATCGTTTCAAGAGTCGTTTAAAAGACTACCAAACATACTGTGAGCACGTCAGGGCAATCCAACATTTCAGTGAGTTCCCACCACATTTAATTGAGTATATAGAATATGGATTACAGGGGCAGGAGCCTCCCACAAGACCTCAAGGTCCAGTCCTTCCTAAAACTTTAGCAGCTATGCTGGCACCAGTTACTACAACATACAAAACTATCACGACAACAACAATAACGACAAGTACTACTCAAGCAAAATCGTCTACGACTCCGACCACTTCTCTCTCGGCCAGAGTAAGTATGACAAGTTAAATAAGTTTCGAAAATTGCGCAACGCATTTTTATATCATTACTCACAATTCTGTATTTTAATTTTAGCCCTCCATTGCTAATGCAACAAACATTGATACGTTATTAGTAGCGACAGATAAAGAAGAAAAAATCACGTCACCGCCGGAAGCTTTACAAGATAAAACTGCGTTTATCTTTAACAATCTTAGTCAACTGAATCTGCAGCAGAAATGTGACGAAATTAGAGAAATTGTCACGGAAGAGTATTGGCCTTGGATGGCTCAATACTTAGTGATGAAGCGTGCGAGCATAGAACTAAATTTTCATGCTTTATATTCGAATTTCCTGGACTGTTTAAAGTTGCCAGATATATACAAAATGGTGACGAGAGAGACGTTTAGAAACATAAAAGTTTTGTTACGGAGCGATAAAGGGATAGCAAATTTTTCAGATCGTTCGCTTCTGAAAAATCTAGGCCACTGGCTAGGAATGTTGACCCTTGGAAGAAACAAACCCATTTTACACATCGATATTGATCTAAAGAGTCTACTTGTTGAGGCGTACCATAAAGGTCAGCAGGAACTTCTTTACGTGGTTCCTTTCGTGGCTAAAGTACTTGAAAGCTGTGCGAAAAGCCGTGTTTTTCGGCCACCTAATCCTTGGACAATGGCAATTATGAACGTATTGGCAGAATTGCATCAGGAGCCCGACTTGAAATTGAATTTAAAATTTGAAATCGAAGTGTTGTGTAAAAATTTAAGCATCGACGTCGGGGAATTAAAACCTGCGCTTTATCTGAAAGATCCAGACAAGTTGCGAAACTTGGAATACCAATTATCTCATCCTAATAAGAAATCTGAATCGAACAATAATCAACAGCAGACTCAAGGTCCTATTGAAGAACTAGTTGATCCTGGCACGACCGGAACGATCGTCCCACAAAATGCCCCAGCAAATACGACACCGTCTTTGCCTATCGGTCCGCCAGAGCCACGTTTCAATTATATGGATATATCCGTAACAGGCATTGCTAATATTTCTCAGCACATTACGATCAACAACAATCTACCACTGTTCCAAGCGCATCCGCATTTGAAGCAATTGGTTCGCCCAGCCGTTGAGAGAGCAATACAAGAGTGGATTCATCCTGTGGTCGATCGGTCCATCAAAATAGCCTTGACCACCAGCGAACAAATCGTGAGGAAAGATTTCGCGTTGGATCCAGAAGAAGTTCGAATGAGAACTGCGGCGAGGCACATGGTCCGTAACTTGACCGCTGGAATGGCTATGATCACCTGCCGTGATCAAGTTTTAACGTCAATTGGTACACATTTGAAACAAGCTTTGATGCAAGCTTTGATGGGCACTACCACGCCGCAACAAAAGGAACTCATAGAACAAGCAGCTAATGTGGTAGCTGCCGACAATATGGAGCTTGCCTGCGCGTTTGTACAAAAGACAGCGATCGAGAAAGCTATTCCAGAGATGGATAAACGACTGTTGAATGAAATCGAATTGCGGAAGATTGCACGTCAAGAAGGGAGGAGGTATTGCGATCCGTTGGCTAAATATCAAGCTGAAAGGATGCCTGAACAAATAAGATTAAAAGTAGGCGGTGTAACACCTCAACAGATGTCCGTTTACGAAGAGTTTGCAAGAAATATTCCCGGATTTTTGCCACTCTCTGAAAGGGATACGCAAGCTTTACTAATGCCAAAACCCGTTACAGTGCGTATTCTACACAGCATTTCTTTAATCCTCTTATAATATTTAAAATGTTTCTTTGTTTTCAAAGGAACCTACTGTGACTGCATTTGCTGCAAATCCAGCAGTTGCAGTTGCAACGGCACAACAGGTTGCTGCGTACGCAGCAGCAGTGAGCAACGACGAAGTCGGAGCTATGTTGGAAAAGCTTGCAACCGAGGTCGAAGTGTTGCTTGCTACGATGGGACCTGCACCTCAACTAGGTCCTACTCCACAACACGCGGCTCTTCATGGTCTCTTGGAGTCTATTATACTAACACGAAGATCGAGAGATGCAGGAGCTGCAATGGCGTTACTTAAAAAGGCAAATAATTATAGAATACATAGTATGATTATAGTTCATTATTTACATATATTTCTTAAATTTAGGCTGTGGAAGGGTTATTAGACGGCCCGATTTCCAGTGGTGTAATAGATTCCGAAATTATGCGGTACAGAGAACTTCATTTACGCATTTTGAAGTGTCTCCAAGATCCACGCGCTTATGGAATGCAGTGGACGAACAAACATGTCACACGATGTTTAACAGAATGCAGAGAGGAGTTCCGATACAATTTCGAAGCTGTCGATTACCTTATCAGGTATTATATTTCTCATAGTATATTATTAAGTTATTCGTTTCATTTAAGTAATCATATGTAAATCGCGCGGCTAATATTATTTTCAGGTCTCACTTAATCAGTCTTCCACAATACGATTTAGCTTTGGCTCAAGCTATTGATTCTGGTAATGCCATGGCTACAGCGTTTGCTATGCAGTTGATTCAGGTTTACTTAATTGACGAGAGACAAACCACACACGTTACCGAATCTGATCTATTTCACACGATTGAGATACTTGCCAGGATTGCTCATCATCGAGCACCACCCGAAGGGTTAGTATCGTTAATAAAACAATTCTCATTTGTAGAAATACCAATCAATTTTGGGATGCATATATTTTTTCAGAATTTCATTGTACAAATTAACAAGTTTAATGGAGTCTCTACGCGCTAATCACGATCCTGGAGTGTTAGCAGATAGAGCTCCGGCCGGCCCTACGGCCCATATTCATTCTGGGATTCTGCAGGTGAGAGTAAGTAAATTTTGCCGATACTAAGACGGTCAGAGCACACTGTATCTACAATTTATGTTATTATTATCTTTTAATAGGCTCGCGACTTTGATGACCCACCTGGATTGCTGGAGAAAACAGAATATTTACTGCGCGAGTGGATCTCGATGCACCACAGCCCAACGCACGCCCGTGATCCTACGAAAGCGTTCGGGATATTCGTCCACCAAATGAATATTCACGGAATCCTTAAAACCGATGATCTCATAACAAGATTCTTCAAATTGAGCACTCAGATGTGCGTCGACCTGTGTTATCGTGCTTTAACTGAGACGAATGCCGCACCGTCTGTTGTCCGTGCAAAGTGTTTCCATTCGTTAGACGCTTTTGTTCGTCTGGTCGCACTGTTGGTAAAGCATTCTGGTGATAGTACAAATACTCATACGAAGATTAATTTACTGAACAAGGTCTTGGGAATCGTGGCCGGTGTATTACTGCAGGATCACGAAATACGTGGGACCGATTTTCAACAATTGCCTTATCACAGAATCTTCATCATGCTCTTCTTGGAGCTCTGCGCGCCGGAGCCTGTATTGGAAGCTGTCAATTACCAAGTGTTAACAGCTTTCTGCCATACGCTGCACATACTTAGACCAGCGAAGGCTCCAGGATTTTGCTACGCTTGGCTAGAACTAGTTTCACACAGGGTGTTCATCGGACGCATGCTTGCGATTACACCGCAACAAAAATGTTGGGGCATGTACGCGCAGCTGTTGATTGATCTCTTCAAGTACCTAGCACCGTACCTTCGTAACGCCGAGCTCGCTAAGCCCGTAACTCTGTTATACAAAGGCACTCTTCGAGTATTATTAGTCTTATTACATGACTTCCCAGAATTCCTTTGTGATTATCATTATGGATTTTGTGATGTAATACCGCCTAATTGTATACAGATGAAAAATCTTATTTTGAGCGCATACCCAAGGAATATGCGATTGCCCGATCCATTCACGCCGAATTTGAAGGTCGATATGCTACAAGAGATAGCTCATGCCCCACGAGTATTGACCAATTTCGCGTCCCAGATACAACCATTGAGTTTCAAAAAGGAGCTTGACTCGTATTTAAGAGCCCGCGCGCCAGTTACCTTCCTCTCTGAACTGCGTAGCAACTTGCAAGTGTCCCAAGAAGCTGGCTCCCGCTACAATATTCAGTTGATGAATGCGCTAGTGCTCTACGTTGGGACGCAGGCTATAGCTTTCATTCGTAGCAAGGGACACACGCCTAACATGTCGACCATCGCGCATTCCGCGCACATGGACATATTCCAAAACTTGGCGGTCGACCTGGACACGGAGGGTCGCTACTTGTTCGTGAACGCGATCGCGAATCAGCTACGGTACCCCAATAGCCATACGCATTACTTTAGCTGCACGCTTCTGTACTTGTTCGCTGAAGCTAACACAGAGGCGATACAGGAACAAATTACGAGAGTTCTACTGGAGAGACTTATTGTAAATAGACCTCACCCGTGGGGTCTTCTCATCACCTTCGTTGAACTTATCAAAAATCCGACATATAAATTCTGGACGCATGAGTTCGTGCACTGTGCACCAGAAATTGAAAAGTAAGTTCTTCTCAAATAGAAAATTTCATCATATTATTCTGTGGTATGTTACTTGTCATTTTGTATTGTTACAGATTATTCGAATCGATAGCACGATCGTGTATGGTTCAAAAACAGCAAGTACAGCCGACTCCGGAGCCGGAGATCCCAGAGTGATAGGACGCTTTATTTCTCATTGTCGATTTGTGTACAGTAAAAACGAAGGGACATGAATGATAAGATTCGCGTGTAAAAAGTTGTTAATCTACGAATAGATGTACTATACTTTGGGCTTAACTTTTTTGGTGGATAGATATTGAATAATCGTATATTAAGTGTATCAATTGAAATAAGCAAAGCTACTATTATGTTAATATTTTAATAAAAAAGAAGTATTGTTGCATCGATCAGAAGGCAACGAACAATTCAACCTCACAAAACGTGTCTTTCGAACAGTGTACTTGAAACAGTGTGTTACCATGACATTGTAATAATATAGCACAAATGTCAGTATGATGCGTATCATAAAACGGTGAGAGGAGTTGAAGACAACAAGGGTGTTCAAGAAGTAATAGTGAACTTTTTTAGTTTGAATTGAATATAAATGTACTATGAGTAAGTGATAATTAATTGAGTCAGTACCAAAATTAATATGTCATGCTAATGTAAGTCGTTTTAGGGAGTACTTGCAGAATGTATGGTGCATTTGAGAAATCTGTAATATAGTACATAACTATTAGTATACATTGATGTAATTTTTTAAGAATTGTAGCTATGGAAGAAGATAAAGCTGATTAATTAAAACGTGGGTTTATGTGATCCTTTAGTTCTAAATATAATTAAGTAGTGATTTATAATTATCGCTTATTAAATAATTTATTAAATTCTGTCTATATATATCATTTGTACACAGTTCAAAGTATGTATTGTCGACATTAAGCTGCTTGGTGGTCACGCGTCGCATGATAAGAATCTCTTTCCTTATCTGGGAATTTGGTGGGTAGATTCGGACTATGCAGATGACATTTCGCAGGGTATCTTATTCCCGCTACGTTTACTTCGTAATTGCCCGCTAGTATGTACTCGTTTGTAACTTCTTGTGGACGTCCTTTTGAATCGATGTTTTGTACAAATCCAAGGCAGACCTTCATTAAAAATTTATTGCAATTTTTTTTATAGTTTTGAGACCTCTTAAGACATGTAGAATTACTTGTCCATAGTGTCGTACCTGCTTCTTGAATGTAAATCCGTAGCCAGTGGTAGTTGTCATTCCACAGTATTGTCCATTTCTAAAAATAGGCTCTGCGCCCCAACACCATGTGTCTAATTCAAAATCGTGATCGTTCAGTAATAGCTGCACGTATTTTCGTTTTACGCCTTCATCGCGCTGTTTCAAGAGAGCGTCTCTTCCAATGAAATCCACTCCTTTCTGTTAAATTCATAGCTTTATAACATATAACACGTTCATTTTTCAAATACAAGATTACCTACATCAAGTTTCACTCTCCAAGTTCGTCCACATTCCAGAGGAGTGGTGTACGTGTCCAAATCCTGACCCCAGAATGCGTAAAACTTTTCAACTCTTAAAGCACGAGTTGCATAGTAACCAGCGTGTTTTAATCCGTACCTGGCCCCAGCATCTACCAATCTTGTATAAACATGTAATGCAAACTGTAAATACGTAATATGTATCAATATCAAGTGTGAAAGATAAAAAGAAGAGTATCTCTTGTAATGAAATGAGAAACGTTTACTTCATTTGGAATATATAAAACGTAGCCAAGCTCTCCAGTATGAGTGAGGTTCATTGTGCGTATTCCATTGGCGAGGCCAACGTCTAATTCCTTACAAGGAAATTGATGTACAATTAAAACAATGAAATTACTTATATTATTATAATAGAATCGATAATAAATACCTTAAAAGTGAAAAATGGGAAGTATTTAGGATTCAAATCTGTGTCTGTTAATTCTGATAGTAGTTGTCTAGTAGCAGGACCCATAATACAAATTGCTGTATAAGCTGACGTTACATCGGATACTGCTATAGAACCGTCTGCAGGTAAATGACGGTAAATCCAATGTTTGCAACGAGTTTGTTGTATGGTAGGGGCAATCATCATGTAACTTAAATATTAAAAGAGCTGTCCAAGTTTTATATTGTATAAAATTATAACTTTTAGTAACGTATTCGCAACTTACTGATTGGGAGCAATTCGTGCTAAACTGCAATCATTTTCGTAACCCCCACGATGATTCTGCATACCTGTGTGAATAATACTTCCTACCGGAACGTCTACATCGTTCGAACATAAATATTGTAATAAATCTACCACTTCCATCCCGTTCGACTAAAATAATACATAGACAAAATAAATATTTGTCAATATTTTTTAGAGGATTATTGTTGAAACTAATTATAATTAGGTGTACCCATAAATCAATTTTAGTAAATGAAGAATAGTCGCTCAGTCCAACTGTTTCACGACATGCAGCGTACTCGTTTGAAACAGGTTCAAACCACGGTGGTTTACTGAACGTGTTTGTGTACGCTATTTTATACCTTTGGAATCCATCGGTCGTTTCCAAATCTGCGTATCAAAACAATCTGGATAATAAAATCTAGTTTTTTTGTTTGCACAATACAAAAACGAAACACAATAATTCTTACCACTGTCGTCATCTAACTGGAACCAGGTTGGTCGCTCGTATCCCATTACTTGACCAAATACTGCACCAGCTTGTCGAAGCTTTGGATAAATCGGCGACATTCTTAAGTTTCTACCCGTCTTAAATTCATGATGCGGATACTGTAAAGCGTAATGCATGCCAGGAACTTCTTTTACTCGATCGCGCAAAAATTTTCGATTGTTATGGAGTCCCAGGAAACGTGATACGTCTAGTTCGTACATATCTACGGACGTTGAACCGTTCACTATTAATTCTGCAGTCGCCCGGCCAACTCCACCAGCCGCTGATATACCCACCTAGAAAAATTAGATTTTCGTGCCACCGATGAACGTTAATGTATTATGCTGCTTACCGTTTTCATACCAGCAGCGATATAATAATTGCGTATTTCTGGTGCTTCGCCTACTATCCATTTGCAGTCTGGAGAGAATGCCTCGGGTCCGTTACATAAATTTTCCAAAATCGCGTCCCCGAAGCTTGGTATTCTATGAAGCATTTGCTCGAATAAGATATGAAAATGGTCCCAGTCCTCTGGTAAAAATCTTTCTGTTGTGCCCTCTAAAATAAAATCTTTTCAGGTTTCAATATCTGTAGAATCCATGATATTTAAAAATCTGTACCCGACCAGGTATCGTTCCATCTTCAAACGCTGGCTTTGCAACTGGCTCAAAGCCACCTGCTAAGATACTTCCGTTGTTCTCGCGAAAATAAATATATCCATCCAAATCCCTTATAACAGGAGTCATAGGATTCAAACCATCAATAGGTTTTGTATGCAAATAATAATGTTCTACTGGATGAAGAGGTACCTAAATACAGCATGTATAATTAAACTGTTAATTTCTATATGTAATAATAATTATGAAACAAAAAGTGTCTTACCTTTACATATGGTTCACTTAATTTACCTACGTTACGTGCCCAAAACCCAGCACAATTAACAAAGTGTTCACATTCTATGGTACCATTTGTTGTTTCAACTGCTTTAATTTTACCATTTTGTGTAATAATTTTAGTAACTTTGCAGTTCTCATATACTTTTGCACCTAAAAGTATCAGGAATTGAAGATGTCATGTAATTTAATTATAATAAATTACCTTTCTTTCTTGCTTCTTCTATTAAAGTTAAACATATTTCATACGGATCTCCTACACCATCCCCTGGAATCCATAATCCACCAACCAGATCGTCTACTCGTAATAATGGACATATTTCTTGTACCTGTTTCGGCGTAATTAAATGACATTCAATATTACGTGATCTAAAAATAAACACATCATGAATTAATGTCGAAGTGAAATTGTCTGTGTTTATTTCTGATAATTAACTTACATAGATTGTGCTTTCATTCGTCGAAATACAGTCATGCGATCTCTTGTGCGTGCCAAAGAAAGACTGCCACATTGTTTCCATCCTGTCGACAAGCCCTTGCCCTCTAATTCCTTGTATAAAGCTATGCTGTCTTGGGCAAGTTTAACTTGTGCCAAACTTGGTTTAAATGCCCCTACTAATCCTGAGGTATGCCAGGTGGTTCCACCTCCCAATCTGAATACAGGAAAACGTGTAATTAAATGAAATGGAAAATATTTGCATGTATTACGAAGAAATTACCTGCCGCTTTCCACGATAACAGTTTGAGGTCCCAACCCCATAAGTGAAAGGTGATAAGCAACTGCACCACCCATAACACCACCACCGCATATGACGACTTTTGTTTCTTTGGGAAGTGGATCGTCAACATCTTCATTTGTTTCCACAGTCGATTTCGAACTACTGTGCTTCACCCTTTGACAGTTATTGTAAAAGGCGAAGTTATTCCATTTCGTTATATATTTATTGTACACTAATTTCGAATAACGCCACATTGCCGTAAACGAAAGTCAAATATTATTTACTAATTGACGTACAAAAACGATCTGAATAGACGCATTTACGCGCATATTAACACATTTTTAACAAGGTTAGCTTACTACTACCGAACTAAAGTCAAAAATACTGTAACACTGCAGGTATCCTCCTTTCATACTTATTTCGAGACCTATATTAGCTGTTTAGAAAAATTGAATAATAAATTTGGTGTTCAATACATTCTGCGATCTATAAACGTATTTATTTCCTATTCGTTA